CCCAAAACCCCAAAACCCCAAAACCCCAAAACCCCAAAACCCCAAAACCCCAAAACCCCGTTTTTGGAGAAAATAATTGAGTAAAATTAGGTATGATAATGAAGGACTATATTTTTACCTGGTTATGGATCTTGATGTACTCTTTCGGGGAAATTTTGCCTAGATATTTGGCAAACAAATGGAATATTTCGTCCCAGATTTCGTTAGAAATATGCTGTTCATCTTGCTCCATTTCTTCTTTGAATGAAAGTGATAGAACATGAGCTTTTGAATTTTTAAATCGAGGAAGGCGATTTTTCAATATAGATGGGTTAGATTTAGGTTTTCCATAATTGATTGATTGTCTATGCTCTTTCAGAGTTTTTATTGCACCCATTCATGAAGGCATATCTTCACTTAAAAGTATCTGAAGCTGAGAGAATTCTAAAATAGCAAGAACCATACAGTGAAAAGCCCTCCATCCATTCTTGAAAAAGGATGTAAAATAATCTTTAAGTCTGCCTAAAGGTATATACGAGCATAAGAAACTGATAGCCCAGTCGCTTATGAACATCTCTATTCTCACATCTACTTCCCCAAAGTGCTCGTACAATTCAGGGAGGTATTGTTGAACTAGAATATCTCAGATCCCTGAATGTCTATACATTCCTTTCAGACCATCTTCATAGACCTCTCTCATTTCATACCGTTCAAACAGCTCAATTACCAGCCAGAACGCTATTGATTCTTCACAATGAATAAGAAAGGCTCCTACTACAAAATTCATGCCTTGCACATATCCGACTTTATCATCATACAGAGAGATGGCGCAGAGGACCCTGGCTAGTCTATGAATCATCGAAGTATTCCTGAAGGCGTAATGCTTCTGAAATGTTCTCTCAATATCCTTCGAGATTTGTTTTGACTGCACCTGCCCCTTTATGATATTCTCATACGACTCCTTCCATTTGTGGTATTTGAACTCATGAGACACTATTTCTGTCCAGCTCCTGGCTGTTTTACAGAAATATTTCTTGACGTCTTCCTCACAGGTACACCAAATTGTGATCTTTTGGTCTGTTCCATCATGATTTGGCTGCTTTTCCATTCTGAAATTATTAATATCGTACTTTAGAGGGGCTTCAACTGGTCTGTATTTCCGTAATTTTGTAAATCTGTCACCCTTCTTGACTGATCTGGATGAAAATTTTCCATAATGTCTTTGAGTGACTGAGTAATTCGAAATATTCACCTTTCTTTTTGAAGGCTTCTTCTGTCTTGCCCTTTCAAGCTCTTCAGGGCTTTTCTTGAAGGGTGTCTTGGTTGGAGTAAAAGAATAGTCTCTGACCTTCTGGTCCTTCAGGTGGTCTGAATCGTTCATCTCATCTGAAACAATGTTCTCTTCTCTTTTACTCAATCTTGCTGGCTCGTAGCTCATTCTGGTAAGGTCAGGAGCTACTCTAAGCCTTCTCTTAGACTTTTGAGTGAGTTTTGGAGTCTTGAATGAGGAAGTATCTTGATAGTTATTATCCAAATTCTCAACTCTGTTGTTGAGTGATTCATCTGTCACTGTAGATAGTTCCATATTCTTCTCCATAACTTTTATTCTACTGCTTCGCAAAGTTGATGAGGGATTACTCCCTGGCAGATAAATAAATTTAGCAGGATTTGAACTCTTTATACTCGAAGTCAACCTTCCCTTTAAATTTGAGCTATGAACAGTTGAAATAGAGGCTGTAAGATTATGTGTTTTGGTTGGTGTAGCCTGGTCATCTAGTTTAGGTGGAGTCTGATCAGCTACTTTGAGCACCCTCCTCTTTCTCCTCGTAATATCTGGTGTGACTATCCCTTCTTTATAATTTGGTCTATAATTGGCTTTTCCATAAGTCAGGCCTTGTCTCTTATTTTCTGTTCACAGTCATAATTTTATTTCTCTTGTTAATTCCAATATTCTTTCTAAATTTTATTTTGTCAAAATAGATGCAAATTTTAATCAAGCTTAGGTCCAAATCCAAATATAAGAATTCCAAAGATTATTGAAGAAAGTAAGCTACCAACCCTCATTATCATACTGTGAAAACTCACAATAAAATCATCTACTAAATCTGCAGCCACGAGAAGGGAAGATGGTGAACCCTTTTGGGCTACATGAGTACTGAGTATAACTCTAAAGTTTTCTTACCTTTTCTTGAGACATCTTCTTCTATGACCTACAGGTTAGCAAAGAATCTTACCTGGAATCTTCCTCTTTGAGATACCAGTGGGTTCTTGATTATCTTCTTCACGTATGAAGGAAGAAAGCCCCTTCACTGGATAATATTGCAAGTTTTCCATTTTATTATAAGTATAAGGGGTTTTGGGGTTTTGGGGTTTTGGGGTTTTGGGGTTTTGGGG